TCAGTGGTATTCACAATTTTTTTTTTGGCATAAGTTATGTAATATTATTTTAATTTGCACAGAGCAATAAGAAAAATGAAGAGCAATTCAGAGTCATCTCTCCTGGCTGCTGTAAGATCCTCTAGAGGTGAGAAGATTCTCGAGGTTGATGGAACAGTCACAACTCAGCCAGTCCTTGAGCATGTAGGAATATCCACCTGGCCTGGTAAGTGTGCGAAAAAGATACATTTATCTGCCATCTTTGTCAAGCATATATTCTTGTCAAATTATTATATTTAGACTTGGTGATAAGGTAGAAGTATCAATTGTTTATCCTTAACTTTTGTGACTCTTCTTTGTAACATGATGCAGGAAGGTTAATGCTGACAGATCATGCACTTTATTTTGAAGCACTTCGTGTTGTATCATATGACAAACCAAAAAGATATGACTTATCAGAAGATCTTAAACAAGTTGTTAAACCTGAGTTGACTGGACCATGGGGTACTCGACTTTTTGATAAGGCAGTCTTCTATAGCTCGATATCCTTGTAAGTAATTTCACAGCTTTTTTTGGGGGGGTAATTGGTAACTGCTTAAAAATTTTCGTGTTATCAACTCTCAAAAGTACTTCTCTTGCAGATCAGAACCAGTTGTACTAGAATTTCCTGAACTTAAAGGTCATGCTCGTCGTGATTATTGGCTAGCTATCATCCGAGAGATTCTATATGCTCACAAATTCATAAGCAATTATAGAATTAAAGGGGTTGCCCGGGATGAAGCGCTTTGGAAGGCTGTTTTAGGAATTTTGCGTTTACAAGCCATTCAGGATATTAGTTCCACAATCCCTATACAGAATGATGCTCTTCTCATGTTTAATTTATGCGATCAGCTTCCAGGTGGAGACTTGATATTAGAAACCCTTGCAAATATGCCAAACTTAAGGGAGTCAGATCATGAGAATGATTTCAAGGGTGGAAGTGGAATGTATTCTATCTCAGCCTTGGACATGGTTTCTAATTTGGGATTTGTATTTGGTGCAAGTCCAAAAAATTCAAATGAGAGCAGGATTCCTGTGGGTGAAATATCTGTTGGAGAAATGACTGCATTGGAAAGAGCGGTTAAAGAATCCAAGAA